ACACATGCTTCAGAGCTTTTTGTCTATGCCCTGGTCATCTCTTGGTAGTTTTAAAAAATGTCCTTACTCAAACCAGACCTCATTGTAAAGAAAAATGTTCTTGCTTTAGTTATTTCAGCGCAGTACCTGTTACATGCTTCCCCTCTATCCAATGAGAAAACTTTAATTCACCTACAAGACAAAAATTTATACAGTTAAAGGGAAAACAAAGACAAAATAATTTTATTTCTGGAAAAATAGACAATGCACCTGTCAACTTTGTTTATCCCAGGGGCCTTCAGTGACATTTTCTAGTGACAGCAACAAAGATTCCAAAATTGTTTCAAGAGGTCCCACACGGAGATAGGTAACAGAGGACATTATTAATTTTAACAGAGTAAATTATTGAAACCCAACACTCCATTATTAAAACTCTGGGATTTTTTTTCCCTTTCCATCCCACTCATCACTCTAAATGAATCCGCTTTATTTTCTTTATCTTTTCCCCTATCCCCCAAAAAAGCCATCTGCTATTTCCTTTATAAAAAAATAAAACCTACAATTAGTGTCTTGTTCATCTTTTCTTTCTCAAAAAAGAGAACTATTATGCAAATACTCTGCAATTTGGTTTCAAATACTCTTTGTAGTTTGATGAGCAATTTTCCTTAATACAACCCCAGCTTTTTTGCCAGGACTTACTAGTAGGTTTTCTTAAAAGAGAATTTCCATGTGACTTTTTTACACTCTTCTGGTGTAAACTTTTCACATGCATATTTAGAATGGAATTATCATCATTACTTCTTGAATTGTAAAAGAAAAAAAATTGTTTGTGTATTTCCTCCTGACAAAGGAGCCTGAAATAATCACAAAACCTTTCTTTTACCTTAAATTTCATCATTTTCTTTACCTTAAGAAATGGCCTGTACCAAATGGTACTCTCAGGAAATCAGAGAAATATGTTTTGTTCAGCTTTATCTGAAAGCATCTTGTAAGCGATGGCAGTTGACTTGTAAGCACAAATTTGTTGTTTGATTTTAGTTGCTCCTCAGGAGCTAAAATATAATTNATATATATATTTTTTTTTACTATCATAAGAAATCATACTGCACTAAGATTCAGAAATCCTAAGTCTTAAAACTAATCGTGCTACTTACTCGGTGTATGACCTGGGGTAGTAATCTCTTTTTACAGCTCAGAACGAATACCTCCTTGGACGTCTTTGCAGGATTATAACGAGGACTGAATAACTGTTGCATGTTTCTGCTTTTGCAATGAATTATACACACACATTTGATGGTGATATTCTGGTAGCTTCACCTTGGAAGTTGCTACAAAAGCAGATTCCTGATCAATTTGTGGACCTGATTATCTGAGAGTGGTGCCAGGAAAACTACACTTGTAATAAGCAACCTAGGTGACTATTAGGCACATGAAAGACTGAGAGCCCCCAATGAGAAATAGAGAAATACAATCAACTGCATTTTAATTTAATTACATACCCAATACTTGATATCTAATTATATATTTAAGATGGTGCTTGATTAAATTAGATATTTTGTTTGGTTAGATGTTCATTTATTGGTGTATATGTGTATATTTGTGTGCATATCACAATTTGGTGAAGGAACCGTCTGGTTTACATTTTCAATATTAATGTTAATTAACAATTAATAGTAATACTAGATTAAATAATAGGTAATTTAACTTGGCTAGCATTCCTCTCTGTACTCTCCTTATAACTAGATTGGTTAACTTTATCTCAAATGTTTACTGAAATATAGTGTGCAAAGCCAAAATGTTTCTACCCTGTGGATCCAGATGGGACCATATTAATAGTAATAACTCAGATTTCCATCTCTGGTGATAATGCAGAAACTCCAACTCCTAAAGAACTCTCCTCAAATAGTTTGGGAAGTTGCTGGGTATTTCATAAGCACCTATAAACCCATCTCCCAGTTGCGGTCACCCTGTGGCATCTATCCTGTCCTTCCTTATCAGCTCTGCCCCCACGTGGAGCTTCTCTGGTCTCTGAGAACCAAGAGGTCATACCCCCCAGTGCTGTTGACGGGTACCACCTGAGGATGGTATTGTCCTCAGTGGATTGATGCCTCTCAGTGCCTCCTTGGACTGTCAGTCCTCGAGGTGTGGTAAGTGGTGCTGGGCTCAGCAAGGGCACTCGTGCGCTCTCCTGTTCTGACTCATCTGGCTCCCTGGGGCCCCAGGAAAGGGGAATTGGAGGATGTAACCTACTTGGAAGCTCTCTAGAAAACAGCAGTTTCAGCTTCTGCCCCCAAAGGCTCAAAAGAAAGTCCTTTGAGTTAGGCTGACACCACCTTTCTAGCTATTTCTTCTGTTTGGCCTTGTATCTCCCCTTTCTGTAGGCATGTACCCGTACGCTCCTACTCTTCCTTATTCAAACATGGAAGTGTGATACCTCACATATGACCCTGGCTGGATCCAGTGACCCCATATACTCCATTGGGCAAACCCCAGAATTGTGAATAATCTTTAGACTCAGCTCAACTCAATACCATTAAAATAATAGTGGAGGTTCTAAGTGAATAATGTCCTCCCAAATAGCTTTAAGATAACAGTAATAGTGATAAATATCAAATACTTCTACAAGGCTAATAGTGAAAGCTAGCAGTCTCCAGAGACTGTCCTCTCCCTTGCTGTTCCCCACTGTCCCCTGACCAAAGTAATCACCTCAAACTTTTCAGCAATTTCTTCTTTTACTTAACTCTATATTGAAGGAATATGTTTATACTGTCAACTCTTAGTTTTTCCATTTTATGCATTATATACTAACTTCTCACTATGAACAACAGAAATGTATCTTTCACTTCCTGCCCATCACCACCTTGCATAAGTGTATCTTCCCCCCTTCTCCTCATTTTTCATTAGTCATAGGATATTTGCTTATATCAACATTTTGTGTTAATGTCATTGTGCTTATAAAACTACTCCCTTCTGTGCTCCATAGTAAATACAATGATTTTCTTTTGTTGTGAGTATCTTGTGTTTGAGCTCAAATTGACTTATTCTTTTTTCCTACTTTTTTGTGTATCAATCACTAATTTGATTAACTTTTGCTAGAAAATATATATATACTCTTAATGTATTTTAAGCTCATAGCAATTCTGTCTTCTTAGGTCACCTCTCCCAGCACAATATGTTCTACTCCAGTCTGGACTGGCTGCTGTCTCAGTCTTGTTCAACTTTTAATCTGTAATATCCCATCACTGTCATTTCTTTGTTTCCTAAATTAAATGTACTTTTTAATCCCCCACCTCTTTACTTAATAAGTACATCTAACAGAGAAAGGAAGCATTTGAGATAACTTTTGTTTTTAAAGAACAAGCACATCTGAATATGTCTGTATATTGACTTGGTTAAAATTTTGCTGAATATGAAATTTGAGGTTTAAATAAAACTTTCAGAATTTTGAAGTTCCCGCTACATTTGGGAGAAGCAACTGGAGTGTCACTGCATATAAATTTACAAATCCTACTATTTTATCAGAATATGTCTCTTTCCACTGGGCCTAATATCCATAGTCTACAATCCTTTGGGTTTAGCATGTTCTAAGGATGGAGGGGCAAAGGAGCTCCATAGTCCAAGTGCTCCTGAAATAGAATCCGAGGAAATCCTGCTGCAGTCAGTCCCTCCTTTTCCGATCGTGGAGGTCGGTAGTGCTAACACTACTTGAGCCTTTGGTGGTGATACCTGCGGGGTTAGCTATATGTCTTCTCAGTTCTACCCCTACTATGTTAGATTTCTTATGCTTGCTAAGTAAGATACTCCTAGTAAGCCACTTCCTACTTTTCGTATCCTAGCCTTATCACCTCCTCTCCATGACTGTTGGTGTCTGCCTTTGTATTCTTTTATTAGTGTAGCAGAATTGAGAATAAGTAGAAGTAAATTTGTGTATTCCATCTGCCATGACATCTTAAACAGAAGCTCAGTATAGCTTTCTGTCCTAAGTTTTTGTTTTGAAAAATTTCAAAGCTACAGAAAATATTTGAGAATAATATGAATATTCTCCTACCTTCACATAGGTAAACTGATTGATAATAAATTGCCATATATGTGCCACCCTCCTCTGTGTGTGTATGTGTGTGTATGTGTGTGTGTGTGAATAACATTATATCTGATTCAAATCTTAGTAAAAATACAAAATAATTTTGGATTAGAGACTAACTTTATAATGCACTAATTAAGCATCATATGTCTATATTTTATCATCATTAAGCAAAGATGCTTTTATGATTATGATAAAGAAATCAGACCTGTTTTCAAATTTAATGAAATGATAAAGTTGTAGTAGACACATGTTATAGTCTCACCTAGCTCTCAAATTTTATGATTCTCTGAATTGTGTTTTTGAAATAACAGTTTTGAAAATGAAATAAATTTGATTAAAAGCAAAGTTATAGAGCAAAATATGTTATTAAAATGTTTATTCTACATAAATCCACAGTGAGCAGATTGCTTGTAATTGTTTAAGTTTTGATGTTTATAATTTATAAATTGCACCTGTATATGTTGTCTGAATCCAGACCAATAACAGATGACTTAACTTTGGGTCACCTTATTCTACCTGCAAATAACTGCATTTGTACAGATGATTGTACTCTAGAACCAAAAATCAAAGGTTAAAATTCCACTAAATAAGTTAGGATTCAGTTACAACCTACTTGGCAGTATATAAACTCAATATTGAGTCCATGTTACAGAAGAAACAACACTGCTATTAATTTTATATGCAGTTTTTCTATTTTCAATGTATTCTATAATGTTTTCCATTTTAAGTAATGTATAATCTTTGGTTTTATTTTAATTTAACTTGAACTAAATCACTTGAGGAATATAATAAGCACAATAATGTCTCTTCATTTTTAATTGATTCCATTGAGTGAGTACATTTTCAGAATCATTATCAGCACCATTAGTAAATGCAAGTAACTATGATTGTAAAGAACTTTGAGTTGAAATGATGGTAGTATATTTTTTTCTTAAAGGAAGCTCTGATCATGGCAAGTATGGACCATCCACACTTAGTCCGGTTATTGGGTGTGTGTCTGAGCCCAACCATTCAGCTGGTGACACAGCTTATGCCCCATGGATGCCTGTTGGATTATGTCCATGAACACAAGGATAACATTGGATCGCAGCTGCTGCTCAACTGGTGTGTCCAGATAGCTAAGGTAAGTGCCCATCTCTATGGAAATGACTTTTCTGGCTTTGTAACTCTTAATCTAGAACAGTTTTGATATTAGAAACATGTTGATACTTTCAGTCTATTTAAAAACAATCAATTATACTACTTGCTATTTTGAAAGATATCTAGTGGAAGATATTTACATTCAAACCACAGATCACACACATGATATGATGGTGTATTTTTGGACTATTGTACTGTGCTCTTTGTGTTATATTGACCAGATGCCAAACAATTTGCTTACTGGTCAGGAGGAAAAGTTGTTATACTGGAGTGTTTGGATTTTTGTTTATTTTGGTATAGTCTACTTAGCAAACAAAACCAAGAAAAAAAGGTTATATGAATGATTCCATATTTAGATGATTTACTAAAATAGCATGTATATTCAATTCTCAGCATGACAAATGATCAACTTTTCCTAGACATTTTGATAATTCTCAGTATTTTTTTTTGGCCTGGCATAAGGCCTCAGACATGTGACATACATCAAGAAAGTGGTGTGGATCTTAGTACCTAGAGGGGAGACCTGGCTCTGTAGTGGACTAGAGACTATGTACTCCCCTCTAGGAGCCTGGCAATTATTCCCATCGGAGTTATCTGATCTTCCAATCAAGAGGGGACAAAATTCTGGGTTTTTGTATGTGACTTCTCCAAATTTAAATCTGGGCTTAAACTTTGGAAGCACTCTGGGAACCAAACAAAGCATTCATGTCCTGAAGTCTACCAGTATGTAAATTTTTACATTCAAAAAAACCATCTGTGATTATCTATACCAAGAATATTTCTTGAAAATCTTGTTCTAGATGAGTTGGTCTAAGATGAGTTTTAATTCACCATTTCTACTCTTATTTACATCAAAATATGACTTGATGTTCTATAAATTCCACAAATATGTCCTTCTTCTTATTTGTGTAATATAAATGCCAAAATGTTAATTTAGTATTTTTGGCCTGTTTCTTTTTACAATCTAAGAATGAATAAAAATATGTTACCCAAAGCAGAAGTTTGAGATAATTCTTAAAATGCAAACTCAAAAAATTATTTGATGGAAAAGCCCAGTTTAGTTTATATACTGCAAACCTCCATACAGTTTCTTTATGGAACATCTATTATAACTTTTTGAATATTATGGACCATGTATTATAATTCTGTGAATATTACATGACAAACTCACAACTGAGAGGATTCCTTATGGTAATGAAGTTTGAAATATAACCCTTCAAAAACTGACTTACTTATCTAAGAACTTCTGTAATTTATGAGGTGAGCTAAATATGCAATAGAAATCCTCAAATCATCCTAGCTTTATAAATGAAAACAAAACTAAGTTTCAAATTTTTTAGCTGTTCTCTATATTTCCTGCAGTGTTGTCCATAATTTAGATTTTGTCCTTCAGGATTCCTGGCATTGATATATCATTTATGCAAGACTCTAATAATAGAAATTACTTTGAGTTCCCTGAATAATCACACTGTTTTTAACTGTTTTGCCTTTGTAAACGCCATCCTTTCTGCCTAGAAGTCTTGTCTCATAGCTTCTTAATTCACATCACATGGTGTTTTTCATCTATCAACACTGATTGGGCTTCCTCCCCTTCTAGAACCTTCCCTAGTCAACCTCCTTCTCTCTAAACAAAGGTAACTTCTTCCTCTTCCACGTTAGTTTTGCTCGTTGGCATCTTGAAGGCATTTTTATTAGTTAAATGTTATAGTAAGTGTTTACATAACCCTCTGAATGTATGGTGAGTTTATTTAGTCATTAACCCTTGAATAAGTATTAGTGGATTTCTACCATGTGCCAGGTGCTCTGCTGACTGAAGTGGCTAGAAGTATACAACATGGACATGGGCCTAGTTCTCTCTGTATAATGCCATGAACAGACATTTAACGAATAAAAACAATTAAGTATAGGATTAAACACTTTCATTCATGTTTTGAAGAAAATAATTATAGGGGAGACTTAAGGGAGGATCTTACTGAGCCTGATGGAAAATAATTTGGCTACAGGGAGAAAATTTCGGCAGAGGAAAGATTACACAGAGCAGTAATATAGATATGGTGACCATGTAATTATCACCCTACTGGGACAGTTTGGGAGTGAAAGCAGGTTCTATTACCTGTTACTTCAGGACAACAGGCACACATGTCCTAAACAGAGCAAGATATGTAACCCTGTGTAACATGAAAAGTTTGGAATTAGTATAAACGCAGTAGATTTTGAGGGATTTTACCATGGAAGTGACATAACCTAATTTACATTCCAAAGAGAGCATGTCAGTTTAGGTATGGAGGTTAGATCAAGGCAATACAAAAATGAAAATAAAGATACTGGTAAGAAATATGATAATAAAATAAGGAGAAGTAAATGGGATTAAAATATATTTTTGAGACAAATTTAGGCAGTTGGTTATGTACCCATGGCCAGTGAGGGGAGGGAGTAAAGTGGTACTGCTTCCTGAGGTGGAGAAGGCTGAGGGATTGAACAGTTGTAGAAAAAAGCCAAGAGTTCATTTCCAGACACGGCAAATTGGAAAGGTTTATATAACATGAAACTGGAGTTGCCAATTAGGTAGCTGAGTTTGGTCAGGACTGTAGATGTAAATTAAAAAGTTTCAGGAAGATAGGCATTTAAGGACGTAGGAACAGTTTTAGAAACTAGGAAGAGAAGTCATGTCCTAGTTACTGACTAAATCTGATTCCTATTTCTTCCTGGCATTGAAAGTTGGATCTTACGTATTGTGGCCATTCAATAACTATTTAATCAGTATTTTTAACTCATAAAGAAAATTTTAAAACTCTCCTTAAGGAGGGTGTCCTTCCTTCATCTTTTTCCTACTTCGGGGGCAGAATTGTGTAGCAGAAACATCATTAGGTCAGAAGGACCTACATTAGTACGTTGGTGCCCACTTTTCGGTTTTGTACATTTGAGTAAATTATTCAACCTCTTTAAGTATTTGTTTCTCACTGTATTAATGGAGTGAGCAATTATTATATTTTTTTCTCATCTGTAAAATGAGTATAATAGTTTCTATCTGTGCTGGGCTGAAAAATAACTCCCTGTTCCCAAAGGTGTATTGTCTTCTCTCCGGCATCTGTGAATTGTTGTTTTACATGGTACAAGGGACTGTTTGGATGTAATTAAATTAAGTATCTTGAGATGAGGTGGTTATCCTGGACCATCCAAATGGGCCCAGTATAATCCAAGGATCCTTATTAAGTGGGCAACAAGAGGACAAGAGTAAGAGAGAAAAGAGACAGTGGGAGCGATGCCCCTTGAAGGCGGAGAGAGGGGCCATGATCCTGACACGTAGTCTCCCTCTAGAAGCTGGAAAAGGCAAGGAGACAGATTCTCCCCGAGAACCTCCAGGAGGAACCCAGGCCTGCCAACACCTTGATTTTAGTCATTTAGAAACTGACTTCGGTATTCTGACATTCACACTATAAGAAAATAAATTTTTATTGTTTGAAGCCACTACACATGTGGTACTTACAGCAATAGAAAACTAATATACTTCCACATAGTGATTTGCAAAGATTAAATAAAATAGCACAATATAAGTTTCCTGGCTCAGCTCCTAGACCATGAAGTGTTTAAAAACAATCTCCTTTTATTAGCTACAGCTTGAAAGCCTCAAAGCAGAGAATTGTTTTAGAAACGTCTGTAAAATATGAGTAATATGGTCTAAGTAAACACAAGTATTTTATGAACAGCTATTCTGGTAACTTAGAGGCTTCTTTTTCTTGCTTCCAGTTTTCACCAAGAGACTTGTGAAGGTGAGATATCATCATAATTGATCCAATACCCACTTTAATTTTGGTTGTATCCCTTTTTTTGTTGGCAAAGCTGGGAAGAGGGAATATGATGTTATAACATAACGTATTTGTATTTGTCTTAAACATGCCTGTGAAAAGTATAATAGTATGGAGAAAAAGTAGTAATTATAGTTAACATGAAGCACTTATTGTGCAAGCCACTACTCTATTTTATTAATTAAAATTCTCATCACAAACCTATAAAGTGTGTATCATTATATCCATCTGACAGATAAAGAAAATCATAGAGAATTTAAGTTACCTAAGTAAACTGACACACTAAGTAAAGTGTGTAAGTAAATACACTAGTAAGTAAAAAAAGACACTAGTAAGTAAATAGTGAAACCATTAATTTATGGTATTATATAAAAGGAAGAAAGAATTTTTTTGAATTTCATCCCTATTCCAAGCTCTCTTTCCATTATTGAATTGGTACCTCATTCTAAAAAAATTTGTGTGATAGAAAACTCTAATTTAAATACCAACATCATTTGCTTCTTGTAGGCAGCCATATTCAGTCTGCATATGCTGCATTTGGAACTTGATTTAATTTAGCAAGCAGAACAGAATATATTATATTTAATGTTCGTATAATACCATATGCCTCCCTGATGCTTTATGAATCCAGGATAGAAGTTAATGGTAAGAATTCCTTCTTTCATAGCTGTTGCTAACAATTTTGGCAAACAGTTTTTAAAAGACAGCTTAGCAGCTTCTGAAATGTGTATGGTGCATTTAGAGTGAAGGAAATTCATAGTGAGTAACCCTGATATTGATTGAATCCATGTGAGTAAATCTTGTCTTACATACCTGATATGTGCTTTGTGCTTTATGTACATTGTGTTATTTAATCTTTCCTGAATCTCTAGCAGGGATGGCCCATTATTCTCCAAGTTTATAGATGAGGAAAAATAGGGAAAGTTAAGTCCTAAAAGACACAACAATAGGTTGAGATACAAGGTCTCTAAATCAGGTAACTTGGATGACTAAGCCAGGTCTTTAAACTGTTCTGCATTATTTCCTTTCCAAACACCACATCCTTGTAGCCTAAAGTCTCTTGCTGATCTCCCACAGCACTCCTGAAATTGAGGAGGGGTGAGCATGACAGTTTATCTGTACTTGTATCTCATCATTCATCCCATAAAACAAAAAGATTTTGTCAAACCTTTTATTG